TAAAATTAATTAAAAAAATTAATAATTTAAAAAAAACAAAGATCTTTTATATCGTAAAAATTTGCCTTTTTATACTCTTTTCAATCTTCTTATAACTAATCATAACTATTCAAATATAATCTTTTTATCACGCGTTATAACAATAAATCCACAAAAATTCTTTATGCAAATTACATATAAAGTACAACAAAATCCAAAAGAAATCTTTATGCAAATTAATTCTAAAATTCACAACATAATAGAATATAATTATTATAATACAATTCATCGACCAAATCTATATATTGCAAACAATCATACACATTGTTTTCCAAATAAAACTTTCTGCTATCATTTCAGTAAGCTCATAATGCCATATTAATTATTTCATTGTAAATAATGGAGGTTTTAATTGAATTTATTTTCTTAAAATACATTCTTTACATTCACAAAATATGGATAGTTGGTAGTAGAGAAAGATTAATTTAAGTTATCCTTTATAAATTCTCTGAAAAGAGTATCAATAAATTTAAAAGGTAAAAATAATGAGACACCGCCGCCGAAGGTGGTAAATTTTTTTTAGGGGGCTAGGCAAAGATTTTTGAAAGGGGTTTGCATCCAGTGAAAATATTGTCATGTAGACGCTAGCTGAATGGTTTGAATTTTTGACGTTTAAAAAAAATCTGCTACAATTTCAAATTTCCAGTTTGGCGGTTAAACAAAATCTCTTTAACCCCCTTCTTAATGCTGAGAGTCCACAATGTATTGTAAAGACGGGTTATCATGCCTTTCTTCCTTATTCGATGATAGATGAATCAGAAATAAAGCATATCTTGTGAGGTATGGTCCACAAATTTACCTATTTTTTCGAAATTTTAATTATTTTTATAAAATATATTAATGAACTATATATTTAGTACCGTCAACCCCGTCATTCTTTAAGGGTTATCAGCTAGTTGTAAATAGCCGACATGAGTCGAAATTACTAAAAGGTCCATATATTCTCACTACAAATCAAAATGCATTTCTTAAATTTATCGTCTATAATGTTTTACCACCCGGTATTTTATTTGTCAGGTCGACAAAAATACTTGTTGATTAGTAAACTAAAATCTCCTCATATCCGCACGGCGTCGGATTTCTTTGAGATATTAACAATTGGCGTAGCCCAACTGATTGGAGTTGTTGTTGGATCCACCTTTTCGATACCGCTTCCTTTGTCTTAATGTCTATCTAACTCAGATTTAAAGGTTAGACCCAGCGGAAATAGAACTCTTATTGCTGGTAAAGCTATCCGTAATGAGTTCGGTTATAAGCGGATAACTGCTTGTTGGAATAATATTTCTCTTTATATATATTTAAAAACTTGAGGAAATTTTGACGTAATAGTATTTAAAGTGGGAACATTCAAATTTATATTATTTATCCGAACTTTTCCCGAAACCTTTACTTAGAATTATCTAAGAAAAGGCATTTCAAAAATAATGGAATTCTCTCCTTTAACTACAAAATAGGTAAGAATTTAGATATTTTTTTTTACTTCGACTTTTACTGTACATATATCCAATACTTCTATTTTAATTTTGTTATACCCCACTAAATACAGGTGATAGTTATATGGTTTGCCAATAGATCTCCAGGCAACTTCATTTATCTCACTTAACGCTGTACCGGTATCGAATTCCATAGCAAACCACAAACTTTTTATCTTGGAATCAATGGTAGCTTTATTAGGAAATGATAGGCGAGGAGTCACTGATAGAATCATCTGTATAGCGTGAGTTCTACAATCTTTTGCTATGTGATTTGCCTTGCCGCATCGAAAGCATATGACTTTTTCTTGTCATGACTCATGAAGTTAGATTTAGAACTAGATATATTAGGAATATAATTATTGCGATTGAGATTGTTGACATTATAACTATTATTATTAATATTTTTTATATTGCCGTTATGTAGTGTTGTTAAATGGTTGGTTTTTTACGACCCACAACCCGAGCCGAAGTCGTAGAAATCTGCTCAACCCTGAGCCAGGGTTGAAAAATCGACCACGACCCAACCCGACCCAATGGGCCTGTTGAGCCGACCCATTTGGTCGGCTTGCTGGATCGGCTTGCTGGGTCGGCTTAATGGGTCGGCTTACTGGGTCGGCTTGTTGGGTCTGCTCGCTGGGTCGGCTTGCTGGGTCGGCTTGCTGGGTCGGCTTGCTGGGTCGGCTTGTTGGGTCGGCTTGCTGGGTCGGCTTGTTGGGTCGGCTTGCTGGGTCGGCTTGCTGGGTCGGCTTGTTGGGTCGGCTTGCTGGGTCGGCTTGCTGGGTCGGCTTGTTGGGTCGGCTTGCTGGGTCGGCTTGCTGGGTCGGCTTGCTGGGTCGGCTTGCTGGGTCGGGATTGTTGGGTTGGCTTGATGGGTCGGCTTGCTTGGTCGGCTTGCGTTAAAATTTGTCATAATCGTTATCTTTAAATTTTATCGAATTTATTTGAAGCAAATAGGTAAAAATAAATATTGTAAACATGTTAAATTAAATTTTTAGTGAATATGTACCTTAGAAAAGTGAAAATTGTCATAATCTTCATTTTTAAGTTATTTCGAATTTTTTGAAGCAAATAGGTAAAATAGATGTTGTGAACATGTTAAATTAAATTTTCAGTGAATATGTACCTAAGAAAATTGACAATTGTCATAATCGTCATTTTTAAGTTTTTTCGAATTTCTTTGAAGCAAATAGGTAAAAATATATATATATTAATATGTTAAATTAAATTTTCAGTGAATATGTACCTTAGAAAAGTGACAAATGTCATAATCATCATTTTTAAGTTTTGTCGAATTTTTTTGAAACAAATAGGTAAAAATATATATTGTAAACATGTTAAATTAAATTTTCAGTGAATATGTACCTTAGAAAAGTGACAATTGTCATAATCTTCATTTTTAAGTTTATTCGAATTTTTTTGAAGCAAATAGGTAAAATATATGTTGTGAACATGTTAAATTAAATTTTCAGTGAATATGTACCTTAGAAAAGTGACAATTGTCATAATCGTCATTTTTAAGTTTTTCTAAATTTTTTTAAATTAAATAGATAAAAAAATATATTGTAAGGATGTTAAAATATTTCAAATAATTTTTTATAGCAGGGCATAGGCTAGCATGAGATAACTCGCCTGTTGATGACCTTTAATTTAAACAACTATCAGAAAAATCTAGAGGTTTAGACAATATTTTTCTTAAAATATTAGATGTGATAAAAATCGGATCAAATCGAGCCGTTTAACAACCCTATAGCTAATATTTTTAGAATCTTAAACTGACGATTACTAGAACAATAGTTATTGCTCTTTAAATATAAGTAATATGATTTGAATCCCATATTATACCAAATATATCGACTCAGGCGCGTACGCGGGAATTCGGTCTTGGGGGGGGGTAATAAAATTTTTGAAGAAATATTATTGTTTTTTAAAAATATCAAGCATAAATTTATCAGGACTAATAACTATTTCTAATACACAATTTTAAATTAATGTGAATTATAAAAAATTTATATGTAAAAAATCACTTAAATGACCCAAAATAGAAATTTGAATTTTTTGAGCCTTTACACAAAAAGTTGCTTAGGAATAATTGCATTTTGTATGTTATATATTTACAATGTAAAATCCAATCTTCGTTGTGATTGAGCTAATTTTTCAATTATCTCATTCTTGCTTGTTGTCAAATGCCTATGAATATTCAAAAGATCAAACCTTTTCTTGGTATGTTTTTCGGAGACCTGATTTTTTTAAATATACCCGACCAGGGCCTGAAAATTTTTAAAAAAACACCCAAGCCGGGCTGTATTTTTTAGAACAGCCTATATTTGAAATCGTTATTATTCGCTATAAAAATCAAAAATAAATATAATTTATTTTAAAAAAATCTTGGCTGGGCCTGAAAATTTTATTTTAAAAAAAGCCAGGCCGGGCCTGAAAATTTTATTTTAAAAAAAGCCGGACCGGGCCTAAAAATTTTTACAAAAAAGCCGAGTCGGGCCTAAAAAATTTCTTAAAAAGGCCGGGCCGGGCCTGAAAATTTTATTTTTAAAAAAGCCGGACCGGGCCTAAAAATTTTTAAAAAAGGCGGGGGCCGGGCCTGAAAATTTTTTAAATAAAACCCTGCCGGGCCTTAAAAAAAATCCGGGTCGTTACCTGCAAATGGTACTTCTACAGGCCTCTGTTATTCTTCTTAAAAAAGAGGATGTTCTCTCATTAGTTTATTAATGGGAAGAGTTTATAAACCCTTTTAATACATTGGGAATTTAATCTAAAATATGTTTGAAATAATGCAGAGCATCCATAGCATTTTTTGGGACTATATCAACCATAGTTAATCTTATAAACATAGTTATTCAGCTAGTAAGGCATCAAGACTTAAAATATTGTATTCAACATGGTAAAAATTATTAACTTTAATTTTAAAACAAAAACACTTTTCAATATGATATATTTTAATAAATACTCTAACTTATTGTACCAACATGGTAAAAATCATTAATTTTAATTTCAAAAACCAAAACACTTTTCAATATGATATATTTATAATAAATACTTTAACTTATTGTACCAACATAGTAAAAATTAATAATTTTAATTTCAAAAACCAAATCACTTTTCAATATGACCTATTGTAACTATTTATCTCAAAACACACATTTCTTTTTTTCCTTTCTTTTAAATAAAAATGGTCAACAATAAAATAATCATTTTATTCGTGGTATGCACAATTTATATTTTTTTATGACTTATTTTTAATAAATAACAAAATTACATTTCAAATCTTCCCTTTTTATCCATACCATAAACCGTCATTTTATTTCAAAATATTTAATTTTTTTTTACTTAATTTTTTTTACTTAAAATATAATATTTATATTACTTAAAATATAATATTTTTATTACTTTTAAAATATAATATTTTTTCCTTACTCTTATAAATTAAAAAAATTTTTTTTACTTTTTATTATGGATTCCTCTCCATCTGACATTCTATCTTTTTTGGATTCCCCATTTGAAAATTCAAGTCATTCTCAATTTGGTGAAGATTTTCAGGTAAAATTATATTTAAGTCAGAGACCTTGATGGGCCTAGATTTTAGGACCAAGCCCGGCCCAGGCCAATCGTAAAAAAAAATTTTAAGCCCAGGCCCGGCCCGGCCCGTTTTTAATATTTAAAAAAATTACCAAGCCCGCTATAATATTTAAAAAATTTCCCAAGCCCATAAAATTATTTTATGTATACTTAACTTATGCTGAAATATTTTATTTAGTAATAATATATCATCTCAACAATATTTATAAATAATATGTAAATTAAAAGTGAATGGAATATTTACATTGTAATTGTATGGATAGATTTATTTGATTAATTGTTTAAAGGAATATTTACAATTCAATTAAAGTTGCATCTAAATTACATTTATTACAATAAATATAAAACTCTAAAAGAAAATCTTTTTGCAATAATTTGATTATGATATCTATGTACCTTGATTTGATTTGCAAGATATATCATGTTTCATACTTATGATTTTTTATGGTGTATGTATATATTCATAACCTTTATAGTTTATGAAATTATGTCCTTTTTGAGTTTTCTAATTTAAATTTTATTTTCAAATATTATAAAAAGTTTACTTGAATATCTATTCTATTTGTCTACGTCTAACAATTGTTTTTAAATTTTCTGCTACTGTTGGGATTTTGCTTTGAATATGACGCTAACTTGGGAAAATAAATGTCATATCGAAAATGTTGGTCATCTTTGGGAACATTTTTGGGAATATTCCCTGATTTTCGCTGTTTCTTTTTTCGCTGTTTCGTGCCCAGGCCGTTGTGTTAAGTTAAGTAAAATTATACCAATTTCCGATTTAAAAAATATATACTCTCCCAAGGTGTATAGGAAATTTGATAAATAGCACTAATAAAATCAGAATGATTTGTTATATTTGTCCTATTAAATATCCTTAAAATAAGCTAAATTTGAATTTAAAAATTTTGGCCCAAGCCCTTTTGCAAAAATTTCCAACGAGCCCTGCCCAGGCCCTCTAGAAAATTTATAATGCCGTGGGCCGGCCCGACCCATGAAGGTCTCTAATTGCAGTTAGCTAAAGTGACTGCTACATAAATCCTGACCCATATATAAATCATACAAATGATATTTTTTTTAAAAAGATATTAGATCAAAGTTTGGTTCCGCTGAAATCTTCCAATGATCCTTGTGTCAAAAAATTTTTTTTGGATACACCGAGAAAAGGGAATAGAAAATGTACTTTGTGTAACAAAACCTATCGCATAAGTACATCATCAAGTAAATTTTTTTTAATATATAAAATACGTAAAATTAGCATAAAAATTTTTAACGAATGATTTAATTAAATATATTTTTTTTACCTTATTGTACCTTTGTTTTTACGTAATAAAATATTAGTGTTGTAAAAGGGCTAAGCCGAACTCAGCCAGTTTTTGAGTAGAAAAATTACTCAGATACAAGCTGGCTCAATAAGCCATATGAGTTGGCTCAGGAGTTGCTCAAGCCAACTTTTCAGCAAAAATTTACTTTTGATTAATAATTTTTAAAATTATAATTATGTAGAAATAGTGTACCATCGCCATTTGGAGTGAAAAAATTTATTCAGATTTAAGTTAAAAATTATAATTATGTAGAAATAGTGTGCCATCGCTATTTTGAGTGAAAAAATTTATTCAGAACATGAGTATACTAGCTAAATTAGGTTGCTCAAATATTCTTTATAACTACAAGTTAATATATTAAACATCCCTGGCCCGAGACCTATTTTATAAAAATAATTTAGTTCGGGCTTAATAATTTAAAAAATTCAAACCGCGCCGGCAGGGGGCGGACTCGTTACGATACGGCCTCGTGGGCATTCATTTATAACGGCCTCATTTGTTCCCTTAAATGGTTTCTTCAAATTATATGATTTTTATAACTAACTATTTACATTTTTAAAAAAATAATAGTATGACATCATACTTATATATTTTGTTTAAAATTGATCATCTAAAATCATATTCATTGCACATATATATCTTGTATTAAATATACAACGATATATATTGCACTATAAAATAAAATATACATGTTAAATATAAAATACCTACTCAATAATCAATTATATCAGAGTTGTTAACAGATACTTTTTAAATGGAGAGACCGGACCGTGTGACTATCGGTTAGGTCCGGTCGGTCCCATATAATTTTTTTTATTAAGCTACAAAAGTTTTTCCTGGCAATTTTGCTAGTATGAATATAACATGACTCATTTTACTTAGGTAATTGTTTAGAATTTTTTTTTTCGAAAGGTATTATAAGTGAACACTTTAATATTAGGATTTATATATTCAATCATTTCCAAAAATTTAATTTAATCATAGTATTGTAAACTTTTATTTTCTTTAATCGGTCTTCAATCGGACCGGACCACAGAACCGTGTTGTGGAACCGGACCGTCCCGTTAGACACAAGAGCATCTTTTGGTAGGCTCATTTCATTATTCTTTTTTCTTATTTTTTGATGTTATTTTTTTTAATGTTATTTATTTTTCGATTTGATGAAATAAAACTACTTTTCATCTAAATATTTAGCCCTCCCCCCCCCCCCCCCTAAATTCTGGTTAGTCCTTTTGGTAGGCTCATTTCATTATTCTTTTTTCTTATTTTTTGATGTTATTTTTTTTAATGTTATTTATTTTTCGATTTGATGAAATAAAACTACTTTTCATCTAAATATTTAGCCCCCCCCACTAAATTTAACTTCCATTTCCATCCATCTCCTTTAAAAATTTGTAAGCAATAATATTATTCATTTGTTACAAGGTTTTACAATGGATTTGATTATATAATAAATAGTTAATTTAATTTAAATATTTTATATTAAGGAAATCATACATTATGCCAAATTTAGACGGAGAAGAAATCGAAGAATATTTAACAGATCCGGTTGCTCAAACCTCTGTTGATATTATAGATTGGTGGTCTCGAAACGCTAATCGTTTTCCAAAGCTGTCGACAATGGCCAAGGATTACTTATGCGAACAAACTACGTCCGTAGCAAGCGAACGTATTTTTTCTCGAGCCAGCGCAACCATTACTAAGAAGAGGAATAGGATGTCAGCCTCAACGTTAAAACAATGCCTATGTATAAATTCATGGGATGTTAATGTTTTAAATTTGCGTGACGAATTTTTTGTATAATTTGTTATTTTTCCATTATTTGTTATTTGATTTCATATAATTTTTATTTTTTATTTATGAAAATAATAAAGATATGAAAATGTGCCTTATTTATTTTGCATTTGTAAATTTTTACTTATAAAATATAAGAGCCTACTTGCGATAAATGAATAATAAATATATCATTTTTAAAAAAATAATAGTTAATATTTCTAAAAAGAAAAGGGGGGGGGGTTTATAGATAAAAATTTTTTAATTCCTAATTAGTAGTATCTCTGAAGATCTAAATGTTTTCCAAATTTTTTCTACGAAGTATGAATATTTGGATTTTGCATAAGTCATCCACAATTACCAAAGAAAAAAATTCAATTAAAATTTATAATGATGCAATAGTGTAGAAAGTATTTAGTGGGTTTAGCAAGGCCCGCTAACACTCGCTTTAACAATCGTGATATGTAAACAAAATATTTGTAAAACTCAGAAATTATGAATGTCAAGAATTATATCCATGATCTTAAATCAAATAATAATTAAAATCTTGTGTTTTAAATCAAATTTGATATAAAAAATTTATAATAGTTACATAATAATTAATATTTTTATAAGATTAGAAAAAATATATGTATCTGAATGTCTTAAATTTAAAAATGAGTTCCTTGCTCAATTTTCCCTGTATTTTCCTATTATCTACCAATCCTTTAAAAAGTTTCAAATGATATACCACTCATATCTAATAGCAAATATTATAAACTAAGTTCAAGTTAACAAAAAAAGAATGAAATATAATAGCAGTATCAATATTAGAGGTTTAGAAATATTTTTCTAATTATAAAAACTTTTTACTAGTCTGAAAATAAGTATAATTTATTTTATATTTCTAGATTTTTAAGGGTGGAGTCAAAAAGTAATGAAAGAAAAAATTTCTTACTGAATCCAAATATTTTATAACATCTTTCCAATATCAAAATTTTTTTAAATAGGCTTAAAACAATTTTAAATAATATTTTCCTCATTGGAATAAAATATAATTGAAGTGACACCTTATTACTAGATCCAATGATTTTAGAAAATCTTTAAATATCCAAAACTTTTTACAAGACTTTAAACATAAATAAAATGTTTTTTAATTTATACATTTCAAGCGTGGTGTTAAAAAAAATGGCAATAGAAATATCTTTATAAAAATAAAATTTTTGAACTTTATAACATTAAAAACCACTAAGATTAAAAGAAAGTTTAAAAAAACTTAAAGTTGACGATTATGACAATTGTCACTTTTCTAAGATACATATTCACTGAAAATTTAATTTAACATGTTTACAATATATATTTTTACCTATTTGCTTCAAAAAAATTCGACAAAACTTAAAAATGACGATTATGACAATTGTCACTTTTCTAAGGTACATATTCACTGAAAATTTAATTTAACATGTTTACAATATATATTTTTACCTATTTGCTTCAAAAAAATTCGACAAAACTTAAAAATGACGATTATGACAATTGTCACTTTTCTAAGGTACATATTCACTGAAAATTTAATTTAACATGTTAATATATATATATTTTTACCTATTTGCTTCAAAGAAATTCGAAAAAACTTAAAAATGACGATTATGACAATTGTCACTTTTCTTAGGTACATATTCACTGAAAATTTAATTTAATGTTTACAATATATATTTTTACCTATTTGCTTCAAAAAAATTCGATAAAACTTAAAAATGACGATTATGACAATTGTCACTTTTCTAAGGTACATATTCAGTGAAAATTTAATTTAACATGTTCACAACATCTATTTTACCTATTTGCTTCAAAAAATTCGAAAAAACTTAAAAATGAAGATTATGACAATTGTCACTTTTCTAAGGTACATATTCACATTTAACATGTTCACAACATATATTTTTACCTATTTGCTTCAAAAAAATTCGAAAAAACCTAAAGATGACGATTATGACAAATTTTAACGCAAGCCGACCCAGCAAGCCGACCCAACAAGCCGACCCATCAAGCCGACCCAACAAGCCGACCCAGCAAGCCGACCCAGCAAGCCGACCCAGCAAGCCGACCCATCAAGCTGACCCAACAAGCCGACCCAGCAAGCCGACCCATCAAGCCGACCCATCAAGCCGACCCATCAAGCCGACCCATCAAGCCGACCCATCAAGCCGACCCATCAAGCCGACCCATCAAGCCGACCCATCAAGCCGACCCATCAAGCCGACCCATCAAGCCGACCCATCAAGCCGACCCATCAAGCCGACCCATCAAGCCGACCCAGCAAGCCGACCCAACAAGCCGACCCAGCAAGCCGACTCATCGGGTCGGCCCAATGGGTCGGCTCATGAGGCCCATTGTGTCGGGTCGGGTCTGATCTATGGCTAAATGGGTTGGCTCGGGTTTAAGGTCGTTTTTTTCGGCTCAAACCTTGCTGGGTTTTCGGCCAAGCCGACCCGAACCAGCAATTTAACAACACTACCGTTATGGTTATTATAATTATTATTGTTAAAATATATATTTTGGTATTTTGCGTCGGCTAATGTTTAATTGTTTTGTTAACTTCTACCTGAGTTTCATATTACAAAAAGAAAGAGCGATCGCAACGCATAGTATCTTCAGTGATATTGCCGTCGGTAGGTTTGACCGAAGTTCTTTACTCTTAAAAGTTCATCAACAGGCAATTAAACTTAGTGAGCAAATATTTTTTAATTTGTTAGAAAAATCTATAATAGTTTCTCTGCCTATTACAAAAATTATTTCGATGTAGGAAAATGTAATATATTAAATCTATTAATTTGTATTTAAGAAATTTGATATTTAATTAATTAATTATTTTCTGTTATACGAAATTATGTCATGTCGACAGCTGTTACAAGTGTTAGTCGAATATGACAGTTTTTTTTAGTAAGTTTTGGTGAAATCAATCGGCTGATAATTCACTATGACTAAAAAGGGAAAAAATAAAAATGCTCATCCTCAAATAGCACCTGCTGTTACTGAAACTGTCAAAGTTATTTTATTTTAGTTTCCTTAATTTTTATGATATTGATATTATAAACACATAGCTTATTAAATTAATTTAACAATTTTTTGCTAGGTAACTGTAGAAAAAGTCTCCTCTACTCAAGATACTAATAATAATGGTGGGGATAATGAAAAAAATAAACCTACATCCTCTAAAAAAATTGTTGAAAGTAGCATGGCTGTACCATCAAAAGGGGATGGTGATAAAAAAGTTTTACCTGTGCCTGATATGCAGAAAAAAGGTGCTAAATCTGCAAAAGGGGATGATGTTGACGAAAAATCTAAAACCATAAAAGGAGATAGTGAAAAACAAGTAGCACCTATGCCTGCTATGCAGAAAAAATGGCCTAAAAAGGACGATAGTTATGATAAAAGAGAAGTGAAACCTATTAGGAAAGGGGATGGCAGTGGTGATAAACAAGATATACCTATACCTGCTGTGCAGAAAAAATGGCCCTTACCTGCAAAAGATGGTAGTGTTGGTTCCAAAGAAGTTATACCTACACATACTAAAAAGGGGGTTGATAGTGGTGATATGACTAAATCCACAAAAGTTGAGGGTATTGGAGACAAACAAATCATACCTATACCTCCTATTGAGAAAAAATGGTCTAAATCTGCAAAAGGAGATGGTGGTGGTGGTAAAGATATTATTACTGCTAAAAAAGAGGATACCATCAGTGATAAGCAAGATTTCCCTATTATGCAGAAAAAATGGCCCAAATCAAAAGAAAGTAGTGTTGGTGATAAGGAAGTGACACCTATATCTACTAAAAAGGGGGATGATAATAGTGATATTCAGATACCCACAAAAGGAGATGGTGTCAGTGATAAACAAATTATCCCTATACCTGCTATTGAGAAAAAATGGTCTAAATCTGCAAAAGGAGATAGTGGTGGTGGTAAAGATATCATTACTGCTAAAAAAGAGGATACCATCAGTGATAAGCAAGATTTACCTATTATGCAGAAAAAATGGCCCAAATCAAAAGAAAGTAGTGTTGGTGATAAGGAAGTGATGCCTATATCTACTAAAAAGGGGGATGGAAATGGTGATATTCAGATACCCACAAAAGGAGATGGTGTCAGTGATAAACATATTATACCTATACCAGCTATGCAGAAATATAAAGTTTTTTAATACTCATATCTTGTGTGATTGTTTTTGTTTATCTAGGCTAATACAGGTCTAAGACCACCTAAAAGAATAGGGTATGGAAAAAATGGTAGACCAATAAAATTAAAAGCTAACCACATCCAATTGAATATTAGTCTGAATAATATATATCATTATGATATAGATATCACTCCCAATAAAATTTCCAAAAATATCAACATGTAATAATTATTGACATTTATATGAATATGAATAAATAAAATCTAAATTTGTTTTTTGATTTAATATCTCTTAAATATAATAAATAAAATAACAGATTGATTTTTGAGCATCTGATTAAGGAAAATAAAGAATTTTTCAAAGATAACTCTGCAGCCTATGATAGGAACAAAAATTTTTACACTGTAAAAAGATTACCATTATCCGATCACGATGAAGTTGAAATAAAATATATAAATTACAAATTATGTTTATAATCAGTAATTTAAAAACATTTCAATTATTTTCAAAAATTGTATTTCAAATTATTAATTTACATCAATTTAAGTGGACAGTGAAAAGTCAATTTATGTTGGAAGATAGGAAGTTTGAGTATAAAGTCAAAATCAAATTTGCCACAGAAGTGAACCTCTATCAATTGAAAGAGTTTTGGGAGGGAAGAATGACTGATATGCCTCAGGACCCTGTACAGGCCATTGATGTAGCTATGAAACATATGGCCAATTTAAGGTATTTTTTACAATTTTATATTTTAGTTAAACACTAATAATAATTTTTTTTATCAACTATATCATTTGTCCTGATTTTGATTTACTCTATCCTTTGATTTTATTTATTTTAACAATCTTAGAATTTAAATATCTACTTTAATTATAAAATATTACGATAAAGATTGTATCATCAGTAGGGATGTAAAAAAAGAACTTTTTTTTCAAGTATAAAAAACAGAGGAACAAACAAAAAAAAACAAAACACAAATATAAAATTAATAATCACAAATTCATAAAATGAACTTAATAATTGTAATTTAATATAAAATTTTCAATTAAATTTTGTTAGATTATTTTTTTCTCTATAATTCATGCTTTGTTCCCATTATTTAATAAAAATTTGCTAACCTTTATAAAAAAAAAGATAGGCATGCAAATACCCATTAATCTTTATTTTTAATCAAAATTGCATAATGATTAAAATTCATGGCTGGTTAAATTTTTTTTATAAAAATACTGTTCTCTCCCCCTCCCCTCTTCTTTTTTTTTTAAAAAAATAAATAAAATAAAGTGATAATTTTTGGAACCTTTATTTTTCGTGGATCGGGACGAAGCGATTAATATAAATTTTTAATAAATACACAATTTAGTTTTAAAAAAAATAAATAAATAGATAGTATTCTGGTTAAGAAACTAATTTTTGTTCACCACACTATTAAGTATCCGAACTGTAGTTTGTTGTTAAACGCCTAGTCTAGTTATTATAGCCAGAAAAAATATCACGCAAGCCTGGAAATTTTTACTCATAGATGGCAGACAAGTTTGGGTATCTTATTAACGAAATTTTGGGGCTTGCGTAATATTATTTTTTGGCTAAAATCTTAATTTAAAATCTGGCTAAATAAATATTTTATATCCAAATTTTTTTTTTTTACACAGTCAAGTGATTTTATGCTCCATAGATTGCGCAGAGAGGTTTAAACATCTATTAAACGATATCTCGAGGCTTTGCCTAACATTATTTTGGCAAAAATCTTAATATGAAATTTAGCTAAACCGAGCCATTAAAAGAAACACCCTATTTTTGTTTTGTTTTATTTTAAGTGTGTGTGTGTGTGCTTAAATCTGAAATAGCCTCTTTCTTTTTGGACTGTTTAGAGGTTAAGCTATATAGACGGCTAACCAGATTTCCGTTTAGAAATGGGGCCAGTCGGGGCACGGCATTAGGGAACTGACAAAATATGGAATTGGCGAGGCTTATTGATGTTTGTCTTAATATTTAGTGTAAATTTTATTATTTTTTTTCTTCAAATTTTATAGATAATTTAGTTTAATCAGGAATTGAGAGCAATGCTTAATTCACTAAATTCCTATTGACATCTTATAAAAAATATATTGTATCTCTCAGTGACGCAAAAGTACCACGTGATACTTTCTTATATCTTTTTTTTTGAAGATCAAGTGTATCACCATACTTTTGTAATTATTTCCTAATAAATTCCCATTTTATCGAAGGCTTGTAATGGTGGGATTTTTACTAGCAATGTTAATGTGAACGAAAACTATTGTACGGGAAAGATGAGATTTTAACTATATTATTATCATTTAAATATTTTTTATTAGGCACATTGTTGTAGGGAGATCCTTGTTCTCCCCTCCCACCCGCGGTGGACCGGATTTGGGAGAAGGATGTGAACTTTGGATGGGCAGATTTCAAAGCGTTAGACCGACCCAATGGAAAATGACTCTCAATGTTGATCGTGAGTAGACATCTAGATAAAAAAAATATATCTCGAGCTCTATTTATGTAATGTTGTTTAAAGCTACTTTTTGTTATAGCAATGCGATTTATATTACTATAAATTAAAAGTAATAGGTTTCCAGTTAGGGCAGTGCCGATCCACAAATCTTTACCTATCCGATCCAATTTTCTTACCAAACCGATCCGATAACCGACTTGATATTTATTTATATCTTCGTTACTTTTTTAAATTTATGTCGTAAAAAAATCGATACTTTTTTTAAAAAAAAGAAGTAGCTAACTGTAAACTATGGACAAATCAAGAGATACTTTGAAATTTTCCATTTCTTTGTGTCCAAGCGGATATTTGGCACATTTTCACGAAACAAATTGGATTTTGGTTCCTTTTACGTATTATAATTATGAAGATATTTATAAAGAAGCAATCATAAAATACAGAAACAGTATAGAAATATCGGATAAAAAGTATCGACCCTATCCGATATTTTTTTGAAAAAACGTTAAATATCCGTCCCTAGCTTATATTTAAAATTAGCACAGCCCTTGAAAATACAAAATTTTGCCTAATCACCCCCACCCTAGTCTTTGTTTACGTAGCTTATAACAAAACAATTATAATATATCCTTAAGGGATATGGATCCCGAGTCCCGGTTCAGGGATTTAAAAGTGTTTGGTTGAGCATTTTGAGACCGCAGATCAAATAGAGACCATTTTATGGACAACTCGTCTAACCCGTGGTAAAATAGACCCCGGAGCGGGTTCGGACCTCTTTTAGAGAATCCGTTTCGATTAAGTTCCTTACCGAGTTCGGGTTCCACATCCCTGTTATCCTTTCGTTCTGCCCGGATGTTGTTTAAAAACGGTAATTGCAGGTCCGGATCCTACTATATTTAACATCTTCGACACAGCCCCTAGTTTCAGTTGTTATATTCTTCAAAAAAAAGCGAATTTGAGTGAAGTTGTGAAATTAGTTAGAATAATGTTACAGTTAGATTTTGGAACAAGTCACGTTTTAAAACACATATTAGTTAGCTAAACATATATTTCCATAGAAAGGTAGCTTGTGACGGGTAATTAGTATCATGTTAATATTTAAATTTAAACAACACTATACACAATCACGTGTTCAATTATTTTAATTTAAAGTCGCATACGCATATTTGATTTTAGTTGCAGCCACGGCTTTCTACATACCCCTCTCGATGATCGATTTTATAAACGATTTCTTCAAGTCCAGACAAAACCTTACCAGCCTCAACAATTTCCAAAGGATTCAGCTACAAAAGGAACTTAAAAGTAAAGCATCTTCTTCTTTAAATATATACGATTAAACCCATATAAGATGACTGTTCTGGTCAAAAGGTGATCAACATAATTAGGAGATTGAAATAAGAATGATTTTAATCCTGGTTTTCTATTATGAATATGAAAATGTTCGTTATAATCACAATTATGGAATACTCATAATTATATTACACAATTTAAAACTTTATTAGATAATAACTGGGGTATTAGATCATATTTATTTATACTGCTTCTTATATTTTATCAAGATATTCAATTTTTTTTAAAACAATCATTTGAATTTAAGCATAAGTTTTCATTCATTTGTAAAGACCTTCAATTAATTCATATGATAGAGCATCGATAATAAATAGACAGGTTTGTGTAATAATATAGAAAGTTGTAAATAATAATTACAACACTGGTTGTTTACTAATTAGGAATTCTAACTGAGTATACTGGTTACAACAATAACAACTTGTTTTTTTTGTCTGTGAATCGTGATATGATATTTTAAACTTATGATCGGCCACATTAAAGCTCACTTCTCGTAACTCTTAAGCTATAATAAAGGATTATCCACTCATTGTAGCGGCTAATCACCCTATTTGGGTTTTAGACATTTTATTTTTGTCTGAAAGAATGATTTATTGCATACCTATTTATAACTTTGGATGGGGGAAGGGCTAAGATATTAAAATCGTTTGGTTAAAAAGTATTTAAAAAAACGCCATTTCCGGAAAATAACAAAAAATTAAAAAAAAACTAATATATAATTGTTGAAATATATAAAGTTGGTTAAAATTTTTTCTTTTTCCACTTCTAAAAATCATTATTCTTTGTTTTTAGATTTGAAGGTAAGAGTGAATCATCAAGGAAGCATCAAGAGAACTTACGTAATCAGGGATGTAACAAAAGTTCCGGCCACTCAACTCAGGTTTACCCTTTATTTTGTAAAAAATGTTCATTCTTTGCACGATAATTTTAAAGAAATTTTTCCGACATAATTAAACTTAATTTTTGTATTTCGAAATTTTAAATTTAAAAGTTAGATTTGCCGCTTAAAAATGGGGAGTGAGGGGGGAGGGGTGGGAATAAATTATTTATATTTAATGCATATTTAAAACTTTGTACAGTTTTACGATGGAGAAAGACGGTAAAAAAGAAAATATAACAGTCGCCAACTACTTTGTTAAACAATACCGTCAGCAATTAAAGTAGCATATTTTTTTACGAATACTTTTTATTGTGTTGTTGATTAGTTCTCTAATCTGTTTTTTTATAAAAAAAAATCGATCAATTTATCGATGGAGAAAATGTAGCTTTTTTCGATGTGAACCATATTCAAATTTTAACAATAATGAAATGGAATAAAATGAATCATCAGCTATGTATCGATGCCAAGTATCTGATGATACTTTTAATTTTAACCTTAATGGCCGATACTTAAAATGAATATACCCTCGCAAAATATTATTTTCTCTTCTATCTTGTAGGAAAGAAAGATTTTTTTTTTTGTTAAAAATTTATTTTTAACTTTTTTACAAATATTTTATAATTATAAAATATAATTTTAAATCATTTTTTAAGCTTTGTTTTTTAAAATTTTAATTTTTACCGGAAATGTATTCTATAATGTTTGGAGTAATTACCCTATAAATTTCAGACAATTTTGCGATCAACTTTTGAACTTAATATAATTTATATTCGTTTTTTTTTCATAGATTTTATATATAAATTATAAATGACTTAAAGGTTAGCGGCAAAATTATCTACAATTCATAAGATAGGTATTCTAAACATATTGTAACACATTTCCGTAAAAAACACATTGAATTATTAAGATAGTATATATCTTAAATGAAATATTATCCTTGATTTTTTTTTTCTTCCCAAAAATTATTCGCTACATAATAAAATTTAAATTAATACAAGATGGATCATGGCGTTAAGACGAGTGTTGTTAAACGGCTCGTTTCCAGCCGATCTGTTAAAAGCGGCGAACTCAATATTATATCCAGAAAAATATTACGCACAAGCCTGAAGATTTTGTTCATAGAAGGAACAAAGGGTCTAGACATATATTATCTTAATTTTCAGGCTTAGGCAATATTTTTTTGGCTATCAAAACGAGCCGTTTAATAACACTAGGTGGTAAGACTGTCTTTCCTGGGTAAGCCATTTTTAAACGATAAAGATTAAGCCGGTAACGAAGGTTACTGTATCGGCAATAGTATTAACAATATCGGTTAAAAAAAATGCTATTTTAGTATATTTAAAATTTATTTTAGTTTAAATATGCCATCTAACGTAAAATAAAAAAATCGAAAAAAAAGATTTTATATTAAAAATATAATTTTGAGTTTAAAATAAAATATACTTCTTAAATATAAAATTGCCGTTACATTGGTTAATTATATATCAGTAAAGATCGAAAAAGTCTGGACCTTAGTAATGCGCCCCTCTGAACCAAATAAATATAAAATGTCGACAAAATAAGTGTATCTTAAATAAATAAAAATAAAATTTACCCGCCATTTTTCTTATATTGACCAACGTCATTAAAATCAATAACATAATTAATTTATTTCTTTCTCGATTCATACGAAAGATTCCCCAATCTACCTTGCCTGAGGGTCGGAAGTCTGGAGAAACAGATATATTTGCCAATGGAAGTTATTTATTATTATAATTACATTTAATTTTTTTATAAAACAAATTATCAAAAAAATTTTTTTATTTTAAATTTGAGAAATAAGGGTTTACTCGAGAATAATCTTGGTGACGGCTTACATAATTATATATATATTTTTTATTAAGATGTAGGAGCTTAAAAAACTATACATACATATATATATATATATATGTATGTGTCTAGGTTTGCACTCTGAAAGAAGGGCAAAAGAAAAACAATAAACTCAGCGATAATATGGTAGCAAATATGATCAAGGTATTTCACATTGTTTTTTTTTTACGTTTTTTTTAAAGAAGTAAAACCCTCTTTTTTTATATAAGTTCAAGGGTATAGATTTTTGTATTAAAGTTCCCAATTTTTAAGGATATCATATCCTAATTGCCCCCATACACCTAAAATATGTGCGTTGGGCGACAAAAATATCGATATATCCGAAGTTTGGTCAGGGTTGGTCCCGAGCCGATTTTACCCAACCGGAACCGATATCAAAAGACCAATCAGGAGCGATTTTTTGTTAAATAAGAAAGTAATTAATAAATACTTTTAAATAATAATAAACGAGATATAAAAACAACATTTTAATATTTTATTAAAAGTAGAAAATAAAAATATTATTTATCATTTAAATTTACGAATGTATAAATTTAATTCCTTAGAAAACTATGACAGTTCCAACCTTTTTTTTGATCAAACTTAACTGGAGATCGATTTGAGAACCGAATCTATCCACGGTCCTTATTAATGTTTGTTAAACGGCTCGATTTGAGCCGATTTTTAGAAACGGCCTAACTCGATATTTTGTCCAGAAAAATATTACGCAAGCCTAAAGATTTTGCTCATAGTCGCAACTACGGTTTGTGCATTTATGACCAAAATCTCAAGGCTTACTTAGATCAAATAGAGACATTCGACAACACTCTAAAGTCTTGATTCGAAAATAAAATCAGGAGAGTTGACCTTCTCCCCTTTTAGTTTTATTTTATCATAAGAGAGGGGAATTAAAAACATGAATACGTTTTCGTTTGCTATTTGAATAATATATATATATTTTTAAATAAAAAAAAATTAAATAATGAATATTTTATAGTATACGGCAGTCCCCGCACCCGAGAGGCAGCAAAAGATTATGAACATGGTAAAAGATTTATAACTATTTCTCCTCAGTTAATTTTAATTTTTGAATATACTAATAATAGCGGTTTTTTTTAGTTGCAGCTAGGATTGTTTAAAAAGCCCGATTCGGGTTGATTTTTAAAAACGATCCGATTAAGATTTTAGCTAGAATAATATTATCCTCGAGATTTGCTAAATAGAGATTCAAACGTTTTTTGCCATTTATGAGCAAAATTTCCGGGATTATATAAAATTATTTTTTGACTAAAATCTTAATTGGGCCTTTTCCCTTATTTGCATTGTAAAACAACTGGTGACACGCCATTTTTGTTTCACCCTTATAAGAATTTATTTTTACATAAATAAAACTGATTTGTTTTGAAAAGTTTTCGTAAAATCTTAATCTAAATTATTTGCGCGGGAAACCAAAATGACGTGTCGCTAACTGATTCGTATTGTTACACTTTTAAATGAATGAATCGTTGTTCTGGGTTGTATTATATAATATATCATGGGATTAATCGATAACATTGTTAAACGTATTTTTTTTTTCAAGATTAAAGAGGCTAACTTCAATGCCGACCCAATCATGAAAGCTTTCGGTATTTCCGTTGACGATAGATTGTTGGAGATGGATGGCAGGGTTATAGAACCACCTAGTATATGCTATGTTGGAAGGACCGTGAGTATTTTTAACATTCTATCTTGTCAATATTTGACAGATGTCGTTTATTCCCTTTGAGATTTTATTTATACTATAAAAAATTAAAGTGATATGATAAATGAGCGTTCCACAAAAAAAAACACATTTATGATAATTCACGACGCTCACCTAACGCGCCTTTTGTTTGGGAACTCTAATATTTTGGCCGAATTTATAGCCGGGGTGACTGGGGCGACATTTTATGCTAGTTTACTTACACGCCAAAATAAATGTGTCGATTCTCAGACTTTATCTTGAAAATCCTCTTACACAATGTGGTCCAATTTGGGAAATATGATAACTGAATCCTCGGGGATTAGATTTGTAGTTTTTTGAACATCTCAACGTGTTTAACGAATTTTTTTTATTTTATCTAAGTCCAACACAGCCACCATAAAACCGCAAAAGGGGGTATGGGATATGCGAAGTGGGGAGAAATTCGTCAAAGGAGCCACAATAAATAATTGGGCCTTGATGTGCTTCGAACCCCAGAATAGATGCGGACCTCCGATGTTAAAAACTTTCTTTACGGAACTGTCAAATATAGCCAAGGAGATGGGCATGACGTTCAATCCTTCCCCGATTTTCAATTCTTATGTCAGGTAGCTCACCTTTTCCTCCCATTTATATGATTGATAAATTTATACTATATACTGAAATACAAGGAGCGGTAAAAGTGCGAGTTTGACAATCCATTTTAAAATCAATCTTTTCCTAACTTTTTTTCGGGGATAGGTTCTAAATCGCTAAAAGTTTTAAATCTTCGTTATATATTTCCTACAAGAATTTTTAAAGTAATATTGAAAATTATAAATAGATGCTAGGGAAATAAAGAGTTTCGAAAAATGGAGGAAATTTCATCATTGTTCCCAATTGGGAGAATGGATGATATTCCTTCCGATTTTTAGCGATTTTTTTTATAAAAAAAACTCAATTTAAATACATTCTGCATATTAATTTTCAAATTTACTTTAAAATTTTTTAGGAGATATAAAGAGAAATTCCCAATTTTTTGTTAAATTTTATTTTTAGCGATTTAACCCTAAAATATTGTAAAATTTAAATTCATCCAACTATTAATCTCCTATTTTTCTTCAGGAATATTCGCTCCCTCCCCCTCCTTTTTTTTAAAGGGATAAAAATATAGTAAATAAATAGGTTTTCGATTATTATTTTTTTCTTCAAACAAAAAATATCGGTTATAATAACTATCTTACTTTAATAGGGAACAGCGTGAAGCAGAAAGCTTATTTAATCACGTGATCCGTCAATCTCAGACTAACAACACGCAATTAGATCTCATAGTGGTTATTTTGCCTGGCAGATCTACGCTTTACGGTGAGTTTTTAGTTTCAATTTTCATTATGATATAAGTTTTTTTTCCATTTCAATATAATCGTTTGGTTAGCTGTCGCCGTTGCGAACCTAAAAAACCGTCTGCTGCTTTGTGCTAGTGGGATATAGTAGAAAGCCGATTTAAGGTCAATCTTGGTTGCTTTGTTGGCTCCTGCTAACAATGGGACTATCATTGGAATGGTCTTCAAACGAAACGGATATTTTGTAAAGTTTCTTGAGACATTCGAGAAATCGGAGATAACTCTAGGCAATCCGTCCTGTTTAGGAATGAGGAATAAGGGCGAGCAGAAGCACAAAGCGGCATCCCTTTGCTCTTTTACTCCGGCATCGACTAAAATTGAGTTATGATAGGAATATATATTTCGAAGCTAGTCGTATAAAACGGTTCTTGAAATAGCTCCCGTGATCGCTGATAGCTTGGTTATCAAATTTAGGGCAGAACCCTTTCAGGGCAAATTTGTTAAAAATCGATTTATGCGATATATATCAAGTTTTGTAACAAAATAAATGATTATAAACGATATACCTCGGGGGAAGAAAAAAATACTTCCCTGGGGCAAATTTATTAATCATTCGGATTAATATTAGTCTCCAGCAAAATATTAAGTTTAGATAATATTAAACAGGTCAGCGAGTTATCAATTTAATAGTAGTTTTTAACATGAGAATAATTACTATATGTGTTACCAAAATGGCGGATCCAGCTGATTTGCTTTAACCGACGCGTAAAAATGCATTTTAATGAATGAATCGTCAGTCTAAGTATTATATGTCATTGGTTTTATTATACCAAAATAAATAGGACCAGTAGAAACATTTATAATAATTATATTTAGCAATTAGATAAAAATTTATATGTATAAAGGTATAATAAAATTTTTATATTTAAAAACCAAAAACTTAATTATTTAAAAAAAACATGCAAAAAAGAAAATAGAATTGATTTAAATGATGATTTTTATTCAAAAAAAAATTATTGATTTATAATTCAGTAAGAATATAATTGGAAAATCGATTCTTTCATTAAAATATTGGTGGAGAAAAGTACCGCCATTATAAATGCATCATCTTTGGTTACTATAAGAAATTATTTAATTTCTTAATCGCCTTTTAACCAACAAAATTGTTTAAATAAAATAAGATTATTGTTGCGAATGGCTCAAAAATATCGACGTAAATTATTTCTAAAAATCATAATAATAATAAAATTATTTTTCTTTCTTTTTATACAACACGAAAAAAAAAATGAAAATGTAATGTAAACAAATAATCGACTTTACAAAGTCGCGTAAAAATAAACAATATAATTTCAACAAACATGACACCCCTCTTTGTTTAAAAAAAATCAATATTTACATACTCAACATCGAATAATAAACGAATCATTAGTCCTTTTCCAGCAGGAGCTCCTCAGCAGTAGATTCTTCAGGTCTTCCATAATATCTTCTGTTACTCGCTCCTTGATCATACCATTGATGATCTCTCCTTCCGCTGTGACTGTCGCCCCTGGAATTGCCATAACTAGCATCGCGATTCATTTCCTTCCAGCCGCCTCCAAATTCTATGATTCCCAACATTTGACCCACCTTCCGTTCTCGATCTGGGCTCCTCTCGGGCATAACCAGCAGCCGGAGGTCCCACCGTCATCCCATTCTTTCGCATCACATCGGCTCTCATCTGGGAAATGGGACATGGTTCCACCAACAGACGAGTTTCTGACATCCCTCTTCTCCTTGACCCCAAAAATTGCGACCATAGTACAATGCCTTGAAATGTGACCAACTCCCCCGTAACTAACAGGTGATTATCATGCGGCTCCTCCTACCGGGTACCACTCTTTCCTGCCCATTGAGCACGCCCAAATTTGTAAGGATTCGTGTATCAATTGTTGAGTATGTAAATTTTGTTTTTTTTAAACTGTTTATTTGTACGCGACTTTGTATGGTCTTTTATTTGTTTTCATTTTATTTTCGTGTTTAAAAAAAAAGAAAAACCACCTTGCAAAGTCGCTTACAGATAAACATTTCAGCAAACATGACAATTTTATTAATTTATTATTCTTTCCCGGCTTCAAGCCGACTTGCAGGACTTTTGACCAATTACATATCTAGATACGAGTATCATTATTAATATACATTCCTTAAATATATACATAAAATTAGTGTTGTTAAACGGCACGATTTGAGCCAATTTTTTAAGAACGGTTAACTCAATTGTTTAGCTAAAAAAATATAATGCAAGCCTGAAGATTTTTCATAGATCGCCCAAAAAATTGCGCACTATTAGCCAAAGTTGTAATGGAAAGGTTTATACTTAAGGAAACCTTACACGAAAAGCGAGATAGTTGATGATAGAGTACAGATAAAGATTTAAGATAACACAAATGGTAAATAGCTCCTAGCCACATCATTTATATGTGTATCAATCATCTGGGGTAACACGTCATTTTTGTTGGTTTCCTTTTACAAATAATTTATGTTTCGATTTTCATAAGAATCTTGAAATATTAATTAGAGTTTTTTTTTATTTATATAAAATCTTATACATGTGGAAAGACCAAAATGCCGTGTCACCAGCTGATTTGTAAACGACCTTTCATAATGGATTATAATAAATGATTAATTAGTCTAGGTAAATGTTATGTCATTGATTAACCATACACACATTTTATATTTTGGATCACTCCGGTTTGTTAAGGTGAAATCAAACGATTGGGTGACGTGGTTTTTGGAGTCGTGACACAGTGCCTACAAGCTAAGAATGTTTCTAGGCCAAAGCAAAGCCTGTATGTCAACCTGTGCCTCAAGCTCAACGCGAAGAGCGACGGCATCAACGACATAATCCAGTTTCCTTTCAAGGTTACTCTCTTCAAGGAACCCGTAATTGTTTTCGGAGCTGACGTTACCCACCCTACTCCAGGAGATAACAAAATGCCATCCATATCAGCCGTAATTAACATATTCACCATTTTTTCTTGTATTTGGCTCTAGGGTATATAACATATGTTTTATGGAATTATTTCTTTAAGATCCCACCTAAATCTTATTATTTTTTAAAATATAAAAATACGTCAAGGTCGTGGCGAGTATGGATGCGTATCCTCAAAAATACACTGCCGTGGTTAAAGCCCAAGGTCATAGGGTCGAAATTATAGAAAATTTATGCGAGATGATCACCATCTTGTTCAAACGTTTTTACAAAAGCACAGGAGCCAAACCTAGAAAAATTATCTTTTACCGGGATGGTGTGAGCGAAGGTCAATTTCTCCAGGTCGACACTTTTTTTTGATCCTTCCAAAATTAAATCGCAAACGCTTGAACCTAAGAAATTCCTATTCCTTAGATAGGACATACAAATCAATATTTTTAAATTTGACTATTGTTCCCTTTTAGGAAAAAATTATGTTTTTCTTAAAATTATTTATTTTATTGTTTTTTGTTCTTACATTTTTATAGATATTATATATAATAGTTAATAAAATAATTCAAACCTCAAAAAAAATATATATATTATTAAAAAATTTTATTTTAGGTTTTGCAATACGAAGTGTCTGCCATTCAAAAAGCGTGTTCTATGTTGGAAAAAGATTATCAACCCTTGATAACTTTTGCGGTTGTGCAAAAAAGGCATCATACCAGATTATTTTGCGCGAACCAAAGGGACGAGGTTTTACATTCCTTTTACATGTTTCTTCTTGACATATTTTGTGTTCAAATTTAATTCTTTATTAGGAACAAATAAATATTGAAAGCACTTAGGGATTCTTTATTTTCGTAAAACGATAGTCTTTATAAAAATGGCGTTGATCGGCTCTTATCTTGGTTTAAATAGGCCCGAATAAAATTTAAATTATTTTAGGAGCATCCAGATCATAATCACCCCCCCCCCCCCTCCCACAATTTTACTAGGTTGTTAAACGGCTTATTCAATATTTTATCCAGAAAAATATTACGCAAGCTTGAAGATTTTGATCATAGATGGCACAAAGGTTTGAACATCTATTAAGCGAAATCTCGAGGCTTAGGAAATATTTTTCTAACTAAAATATTGAGTTAGCCTTTTTATAAATCGACTCAAATCGAGTTGTTTAACAACATTAAATTTTACCCTATTGGCTACCAGGAACCTGAACCTATAAATGTTAGGTTACGATTCAGGGGCGAAAAATTAAAAAGGTACGAGGTCGGTTAAGAGTTCCTGTTCGGTTATGGTTTTTTTTAAAAAATTATAATTGTTATTTTCAGGTTTTCTAAATTTTTGTAGAAGTAAAATGAAATTTGGTTTAAATAAAAAATATCGAGGAAATATGTAATATACACTAACAAAGTATAATAAATATTTTAAATTTTGTAAGTAAAACTACAATTGGAATGAATAAGTAACGAGCGTTTTAAAAGCCTATGTAAATTTTAATATATATATTAGTCAACCACTGTAAATAAGGATTTATATATTTAATGAAAATTATTTTTATCATGGAAGTTTTACTTTTAATTATTAATCTAAATTTTCATTCAACAAAAAATTAAAAATTAAATATCAAACGAAATTTAAAGATATCGTTTATAAAAATAATAAAAACTCATTTATAAATGGTCTTAAATTACAATTTATATCTATAAAACAAAACGATTTTAAACCGATTCGGAAAAATTTTAAAGATGCCTTTTTAGTGATTTGATATAAAGGTTAGGTTATGAATAAGGTTCAGAAAATTGTGAAGGTTCATTCAGCTATAACGGCTTGGTTTACTCCGGGTCATTGTTGATGACTATAAATTCAAAGCTACTTTTCGATTTCATTTAATTTTTTTCCCCTCACTAATAAAGCTTTAAATCATATGTTTTTTAAAAATTTATTTTATAAGTGCGGAAAAAGCGGGAACATACCACCTGGAACAATTGTGGACAAAGGAATCGTGCATCCACGAGAAAACGATTTCTTCTTGTGTAGTCATGCTGGTATACAGGTTGATTTTTAAATATTATTCTTTTTTACCAAATTTTATAGGGGCTTTTTTAGATAGTGATTTACTTATTTCCAATGGAAACGCTTATCAAATAAGTATACCCCTTTTAATAAAAAAAAAGATTAGATTATAAATATCAACCACATTCCCTTACCAAGTTGACATAATTTTTTTTTAAATTGACAGCTTTCAAATATAAAATTAATTATTTTTGTTGTGTTAAAAAAAAAATTAACTGTAGGGCACCTCACGTCCCACACATTACCACGTCCTGTGGGATGACAACAATTTCAGCGCAGATGATTTTCAAAGTCTGACGTATGCTTTATGCCACACGTATGTGCGTTGCAATCGGGCTGTAAGTATACCAGCTCCCACTTACTATGCGCATCACGTGGCTTTCCGCGCTAGGCACCATATTGGAGATTTGATGATGAGGTAAATATACACATATATATATATATGAAAAAAGTATCAAACTGTAAACATTACTCGAAATTGAAAAAAAAATGATTTAATTTGTATAGCATTCATTGAAAAATAAAGGGTAAAAAATTTGTAAAACGATTTAAACATATATTATAATTTTTTAAGGGTAGTTTATTAAATAACCAAATGTATATTTATTTTAAGAAATCTTTTCGCACTTTTTGGGAGGTAAATTGAATTCGTATAACTATAAATCAGAGGTTTAGTAGTAAATACTTTATTTGATCTTCATAAGATTATCATTATTTTCATATTTATTAATAAAATACATAAAGTGACACCGCTTCCTCTTCTACTCATGCCAGTCAATCTACCCCAGCTCTTAATTTGGAAAAATTTAACCTGGCTATCACCATTCAACCCACTACATCCCAGAAAATGTACTTTGCTTAAAAATAAATATGGCAATATTTTAATCCTAATCCGTATGATGCTATTGCAACACTTTGAAATGTTAATTTTTTACTGTTATAGTTTTAAATACATTTTTTATTGTTCTATAGTTTTTTTATCAATCTCATTTTTTTTATAATGATATTACACATCAATCATCCGAAAAAAAGTAATTAAATTGTTTAGATTTGTATTTATAATATTCTTTTAAATAGTAAAATCAAATTATGTCAACATATTTACAATACAGTTAATATATCTGCCGTTTAATTACATTACACTATATCCATTTATTATTTATTAAAAATATACTATATGATATACATTTGGGATAAAATGTATGATGTTAACAATTTTTTTTAATATAAATTATAACTCTATCATATTAACTTATACAATATATATATTAATTACTATAAAAATTGTATGATAGCTTAACATATTATATATATATAATTAAAAAAAATAAATCTCATTCGATGAATATTTCCACAGGATGGGAGGTGAAAGGATGTATAGAAGAAAAACACGAAAATTAATAGAATCCTGAGATAGGACTTTTTTTTAAATGTTAATACTAATAAATATCATTATTCTGACTTCTTCAATTTTTAAAAAATCTGCTTCTAGTTTTTGATTGCACCTTTTTAAAATCTCACCCCTTCTCCTGCGACACTACTAGAGTTGGCTGGCATTTGGTAAGAGTTTATTCTAACTGAAAATTATATATGGGTTGAGGCAGTCTCTTTAACCAGGTTGATAGGTTAACGAAATGTACACTTTGCTATAAATCAAATACACTGGTTATATATCCTCCAGTATCGGTATAAGCCATTACCCAAAAAATGATAATTAATCTTCATAAAGTAATATTTTTTTAGCCTACATTATAGCGCCCATAAATTGAGCAGAAGCTTTTAACTTTGTGTTTTCCTTTAAGAAAACATTTGTTCTTTAAATTGAGTTGTAGTTTAAATTTTTATTGATAAAAATGATAAGCTCAGGATGCAAAATCCTAAGAGGTTGGGAAACAGGGATTTCAGGATTTCTATCTGCAATTTTGTGGAGGGGGAATAAACGATTTTGCGTTTATTTAACCGCAAAAAAAGTTTACCAATTTGCACTTTACCATTTAAAATATAATTATTTGAAACAACGAAAACGCTTCAATTTGCATAAACTGTTAAAGCTATGAATTTGAAAAAATGCATAACCGATAATGAAGACAAAAGATGCCGTTAATTATTTCTATTTCTTTTCACTTTTAATTTAATATATTTTTATATTCAGAGTGATTATGTATAAATAAATGGTAATATTGATAAATTATATCTTTATTTTTTTTCCTATAAACCTTACAACATTATTATCGACCGATATCATGTTAGTATCAATGGTTTCAGCAAATTATTGCTTAATATATATATCTTCTACTCTTTACTTGATATTTTACCATATTTAGCCAATGATTATTCAATATTTAAATTCACTTACAATTACATTTTATAAATACCGATTTCTGATTAGCTTTAGAATATGCTAATTTTGTACTACAAGAATCGTCGATACTGTATATTTACTGCACAAATTGTAAGCTTGACAACAGAATTTCTTTCTCCTTTTTTAATAGTTTATAATTTCGGAATCTGGGAGAGGGGAGGTTATAATGATACGAAAGCGGCAAGCTTTTTTTCTAAACATCTAAACGCTTCTGGCGGATTTTATTTTAAAAAAAAGCCAAATCTGCTTCTAATAGCGATTAAATTTTCGAGGAATTAACTATAACATCTTTCTAAAAAGGTTAGTTCTATTTATAAATCAAGAAACTTACATTATATTTTTACTTTTCACGTTTCCATAACTAATAAACCTTGTACCCCATATAAGAATAGAGGTTTATGGGGGGGGGGGGGGGTATTACATTCAGTTTTAATAGCTGATTTGTGGTATTCTTTTTCACTAGTGTGTAAGCGATCAATGATGACCCTAAATAAAATCGTTATAAATCACCTGTTTCTGATTGGTTAATTTTTTAAATAAATATAAATTTTTTAAATGATATTTTAAAATAAAATATTAGATTAGACCTGTCAGTTCATTGAAATCTAGAAAAGAGTAGATTGTTAACAAATTTTCTTCAAAATAAAATCATTTTTTTTTATTCGTATACTAGTTAATGCCAAAATGTTTAACAATCGATTCCTATAAAAAAATAAAATAAATTTTGTTCGTTAATAACACGTCAAACATTTTCAATATAACAAAACAGAAGAAATATGGTAAAATTTACGGATAGTGTAATGGTATAATTTATTAATCAGCTCAATCCTATATTTAAAAATGTATTCAAGCCGGTAATAATTTTTAGCCCTACCCGGCCCAAAAATATAGTTTGTTCAAGTTATACCCTGACCGAATATTTATAGCCCGGTCTGCCTCAGAGGCAGTGCAGACCTCTGGTATGGACAATTAATATAAAAAAGGCGTTAAAACTATTTATTTTTTTTATTTTATAAATAATAAAATAAATTGTTAAATAACAACATTTTGAACGAAAGATTCCTTATGACATGATCTAAATTTTACACTTCACACCCAAAATTAATTTGAAGACAAAAAAATACACTTTTATTGTTAATTTACTTTTGAAATATAAATTATCTATTAAATTATATAACAGGTATAAAAATATTTTATTGCCTTTTTTTTAAAAAAAAAAATTAGATAAATATAATGTATAAAAATAACACCATGTTTTATTTATTATTAAAAAATAAATAAAATAAGCCCAAATAATCAATGATTATAGCTAGTGTTGGTAAACGGCTCAATATTCCATTCAGGTGAAAAATATTACACAAGCCTGAAGATGCTCATATAAGGAACACAGGTCTAGGTCTAGGCATATATTATCGAAATCTCGAGGCTTAAGCAATATTTTCCTAGCTAAAAATATGAGTTAACCGTTTTAAAAAGTCAACTTAAAAATGAGCCGTTTGACAACACTAATTATAGCACATAAAAAAAAATATATCAATAAATTATAAATACCCAAATTTATATTTTTTTAATATTGTTTTTAAACATTACACTAAAAAAAAATTAAATAAATAAATAAATACGTTGCGTAAAAATACTGGATGTTAATGTGATTATTAAAACGAATACGATTTTAATTCTTAGGGTCGAGAGTGTGGAGGAGGGGGGGGGGATGGGAATGACGGGGTTTTAGTTTGAAACACTGTAAAAATTTTGAAACATTTGATTTAAATACCACATTTTCAAATAATTGGAATGCCCTTCTTTTAAGTTGTTATACGTTGTTGCTGAAGTATCATTGCGCAAAATGTTCGACCAAATTTTTTCTTGCGAATTTATCGAGGGTGCTGAGAGGGATTCTTCCGGAGATACCCAATCGCACCGATCGTACAATTTTTTCCCCGTTTGGGTTGAATAAGTTAAATTAGTCGAAGGGGATTCGATCTGGTTACGAAGACGATTGATATGCGAATAAAGTGGCCAGCAGGCGTCTCTTTTCTCGTAATCGAAAACGGAATCGGCAATGTTTCGAGTTATACGCGGAGGCGGTATCGCGTTACGATTTATTTTAATATTATGAATATCTTCATGGTACCGGGTTTGCTGGTTGTTAAATGGATAATCATACTTATGAATGCTTGTTATATTCAAATATTTTTGCCTTTTAATGTCTTTCTTCGATATGGAATGGCTGTTATTATGAGCGGGTTTATAATGGTATGCTTCGTGGCATCTTCTATCCGTAAATTCGTTCCTTTTGGTCCCATTTATGAAAGGATGATAATTATTCTCATTTGAATCCGAGATTCGCGTTTCGTGTGCGAGGGCATCTTATATATAATATTATATAATATAAATTGTGGGTTTTGATATATTTGATCGACAAATTTATGATGGCTTTTTCTTTTTTTTTTAAAAAAAAACTAAAACTAATCCTAAATATCCGAGTATATTAACTTATTAACATTAGCACTGAACCATAGATTTGGCCCTGGTTAGTCTCAGGTCTCTTTTATAGTAAGCGCGATTCATTCAAGCGAGGCGAAATTCATCGCATCGCAACATTTGTTTTTCAAATTTATCATAGCAATGAAACTCGTTTCAGCACATCGCTCAGTATTAATTGCTTTCCTATTTTACGGAGCGGTAAATTTCGTATCGCTTAAGCGAATCTCGCTTACATTCATCAACTGCTATATAATATTTTAATTATTTTCCGATTAAACATAACAACTGGTAGATTTGAACACTGGCCCAGCCAAATCTAATTGAATATCATTTACATTCAAAAAATAAATCATTATATCATACTATTATTTTGCGGAAATGATTGTCCTGGGCGTTTATAATTGGTCCTGTCGATGCGAGTATTATTCCTAGATTGACATAACATTAAGGCGTAATAATTTAACAGATATTTAATATCTGGACCTAATTGGCGTTTGTATCTGTAGTTTCTGGAGTTCTCCAAGTCTGAATCGTAGCTAAACGAACATGATTTCTCATTATTACTATTGCCATGAGAAGCATCACGCAAAATTTGAGCAGAAATCCAAGCACTGATATTTGACTTATTGGTGTCTTTTAATACTTCTTTAAAAGGCATCATCATCCTATCATCTTCACCTAGTTTTATTTTATTATCATCGATGATGAATGGCCTTTGAAAGCCACATTTGTATAGTCTTCTGCTAGTTTTACTGTTTAGATTTTGGTATAATTTTGATTTCCTGACCCTATCTCTGTAAGCTCTAATTTTGTATGAATATTTGAATATTCTATCTTTCTGTCTATTTTCTGATTTGGAAAAACCTTTGAGGTCGGGAACTTTCACTATTTTGATCTCATCCTTTGACTCCGCGAGTTTTTGACCCAGTTTGCTATTCATATTACTATATAAAATATTTTCGATGCTAAATTTTTTGCAATCCACAACCGTAGATTTAATTTGCCTAACTACATGGATAGAATTATTTGATAGCCCTTCATTTGATTTCCTCTTGTCAGCTAAATTATTTTCCACCTTTTTTTTGTCGTCGAATTCATCATGATCGACCATGCTTTCACTCTCAAATTCGAAAGATGTCCCCTGCTTATCTAACCTTTGCCCAGTATTATTTTTGGCATAATAGAAGTTCTTAAATGCCAGGTTTTTATCCATATTTATGCTTCCTTCTTTGGATTTATTGTCAACATCTGTCATCGAACATCTATGCTCTTCCTCTCGATTATCTAGTGACATACACCTGTATATTGGTGTTTCCCCTAAATTTTGGTAATAACTTTCTTTATTTTTGGAATTTGTTTGTCCTTGGCTTTCGGAACAGTTTGAATCGAAGTCTGGACAATAAGCGTTTTTAATATCGCTGCTCGGACTTGACAATTTAAATTTTTTCTTTTTCTCGCGTTTTTCAACTTCCTTCCGCTTAAGTTCCTCGGGATCTATGGGTTCCCCACTTAAAAAGAAAAATTAGTATATTAATAACATATGAATAGATTAAAATAATAAAGGGCATATATTATGATTTTTTAAACTAGAAGGTAGTGATCTGCATCGGGCCTAATTTATCAAGCCCGGCCCAGCCCGAAATTTTTTTTATAAAAGTTTTGCCGGCCCGGCCTGAACCCAAAATTTTTTTAAAAAAAATTTTATGAAATTAATTTTTAAAATTACTCAAAATAAAAGGCATTATATGTCGTTTAGTTTCAATAAATAAAATCAAATATTTGTATTTTACATAAAGAATTCAATATAAAATTGATAAATTTAGATATATTTAAAAAAATTTCCAAGGTCCGATCCGACCCGGCCCGAATTTTTTTAAAAAATATTAGGCCCTGCCCGAACCCGATTTAAATAATTCGGGCCGCGTACGGGCCGGGCCTAACTTTGCAGATCTCTCCTAGAAGGTAACCAGTTTATGTTTAAAACTGCAATGAATGGAAAAATTTATCGAATATTAGTTGATAAAAATTCAAAGAGTTGAGATTATCGACAAGTTTTTTTATTTATTCATTATTTATATACTTTAGATAATTTAAGGGTTCGTGTAAATCTTGATGATCTCAAAAAGGGAGAAAAAAGGGTGCCTTACTTTTTAGCATCTTTTCTACTTTCTTAAAATCTCAGAAATAAGGGTTCTCTCTTCAGGTTTTATAGAGTATATAAATGATATGTTGATCGATTAGGTAAATAATATAGATGTCAAAATCTATTTTTATTATATCCCAATCGTGATAGACAATTATTGATATATATTTTTTTCAATGATATTAATAATAAACAATAATAACTCATAAGTTGTTGACATACTCTCAATTATTTTTTCGTATACCTTAAGATTGGTTGTTATATTAATTATATTTGAAAAAATATATTCGATAAAACAAGATAAATAATAATAATAATTTTGATTAGGTGATAGGATATTGGCAATTTAATTATTTTTTTTACAACCAATAAGATTCTTGTAAAATCAGCAACTTTATTGTGATTAGGTGATAAGATATTCGCCATTTAATTATTTTTTTTACAACCAATAAGATTTTTGTAATCAGCTGATTAAATAAGTTATAACCTGCAAGTCGTCAAATTAGCGTTGTGAGCGGGCCGGCCTGGTCCTTTCTTCGTATGTTCCTTTTTTCTCCATTTGGCTCTGCGATTTTGGAACCATACCTGTTATAACATATGGCATAAAGTATGGTTTGATTGGTCGCTCTTAATAATATTCTATCTCTCCGAGGGAATAGAGCCTTGACAAATTCAATTTTTATTTCCGGTCTCGTTCCGAAATTTTTTAATTAAGTTTATGTTCAGGCCAGAAATTTCTATTCCCAAGGCCAAAGGAAGCCCAAAATTGTTGATTCAAAAAAATAATAAAATAATTATACCTATTTTTCTCGTGAAGTTAAAAAAAAAATTCACTAATTTTCTTTGTTTCCAATGTTAATAAAATTTATTTTTGATAAAAAAAGAAGAAAGAAAAAACTATCATTTTTTTTTAAAAAAATGGTTCTTTAATTAATATTTTTGAAACTCGAACCGTCGCTATGAAAATTTATTTTTTTGGAGTCACGTGATTTGTCGGGAGAAAGTATAACTGAAGAATTTAAATATTGAAAAATAGGAGGAGAGTGGAAGAAAAAAATTGATTCACCAAAAAAAAGGTAGTTCTAGAATTTTCGCTATGACAATCAGCTGGCGATTTGTTAGAATAATTTAATTTTTATTAATAGAATATTTAACATTTGCATTTTCTTTTTACTCATTACTATAGGTGGATAATTATTTCCCATAAAATTAAGCTTTATATTAAACAATACTTCACACCCTGTATTCACAGTTAGCGAGAATCCTAGGGTTAAACTCCAATTTACTCATTTAAAAATCTACAGTTGATACAATGTCAGCTGTGATAATAAAACTGCCCCCCCCCCTCTTCGACTTTAATATTATATATTCTAATAGCTAACTTGAATTCTGGCTTCAACCAGGTCTAACTCATTAGCTAGCATCTCCCTCACAAACATATCAGGGTAATGATTGTTGAGAAAAGTCATTTCGAGTTGTTCTATTTGCCAATTACTGAAATTGGTCCTAGTTCTTTTGCATTTATCGCTGCTACCAATACGTTCACTGTCTTTCTTTGCCCCTCTGGAACGACTTATATCGTAGAGGATTGAATTTGCTTTAATTTTAACTAGATCGTGATCAGCTTCCAATATATTTCCCTTTTCATTATCATCATCTATGTTGTCAATCGTTATACTGTTTGCAGAGGTAGCTGCCATATTTTGGCATACGTATTGCATTATCTCATCTATTTTATCGTTGTTGTTTGAATTGTCCGTTTCATGAGTTGGCATTTCCTTTTGATTCTTTTCGTTTGAATTATTGTCATCTTTTTCATTAATATTAAAATATATTTATTAGGATACCTATGGAGTAAGTTAAAATATTTTGATTTCTTTAAACTCAAAATAATGTTATACAGTGGATTATGTTATAAACATTTTTTTATATGGGAAGTAAGAAATAGCTATTCTTTAAGATATTGAAACCAATATATTATTTACTTTACATGCCATTAAGTGATAAAGGTTGGTTTGCCAAGCATTTAATAAAACACTCTATTTCACCAGAATATTTGTAAAAAATATTTTGAAAGAAAAATAAATAAGTTTAATTTAAATATATATTTTTTTAATACTTTGGGTCAGTTCTGTGTTACTGTTGTTACAAAATTCGGGCTTATTTGTACTCAAATCCTTTAGTTCGCAGGGTAAAATTTTAGAATTTTCCTCCTCCAAATTATAGGAAGTTTGTCTCAATAACTTTGAGCTGTAGTTAGGACCATTCTTCATAAAAAGGTCCATTATAAATCGGCTGCACTGCTCTAAGGCGTTTTCCGGTTCAGTTTCTTCGATCGATTTTGTGGTATTTTTATATTTTTTCGGTTGCGCCGCCAATTTATCGGCGTCCATCTTGCATCCATCATCGCACAAAGAAGCACATTCATTATCGTAATCAAATTCTCCTACTGATATTTTATGGAAGTTAATAATTTTATCATCATCCTTTCCCATCTTATTTTGAATTTTTCCATTTCGGTTGTTAACTTTAACGGTCGACAAGGTCATTCTGGTTCTCATAAATTCGCTTGTTTTTCCTTTAAAAGTGTGAAACAAATAGTTGAATTTAGATTAGAATTTTTGGGAAATTATTTTAAAATCATGCATGATTTGCTTTTATAATATAGAAAAATATATAGTTATGATGTGGATTAGATTTGTAGATTTATCATTGAATTATGAATTAATCTAATTTTTTTTTTTAAAGAAATAAATTCTTCTATCAAATTAATGGCAACCGTATATTAATGTTAAGAGTACAATGTGATTGAAATTGATTTAAAAAAATTTTAATCGTAAAAATGTTTTAATGATTAGAAATGGATTAATTTATTCAAAAAGATTAATTTTTTTTATAAATAATATATTTTTTTAAAAAAATATTATATTAAATATTAAAATTATTAAAAAATATTTATAAGTGCAAATATCTTTTCCCGCAAATAATTTATTGGGAATTTTATTATTTTATTTTTTTTAAAAAAATATTTTTAGTATTTTTTATTTTGTCCTTTTCAAAATTAAAAGTAAAAAAAAAAAAAAATTTGTCAATTTTTCAAAAAAAAAAATGATATAAAAATGACACGTGAAAAATATAAGAAAAGATTGACAAATAAACACGAATTTCAAACAATAAAATAAAATGTATAACGGTTAATACTTTTGGGACAAATATTTTTAGCTATTTTTTTGCTCACGATTCTAATATGCGGTATTGTATTAGGGCATGAGAGAATCTTTAAAATGCGATATATTATTATCACTAATTTTCAGAGTTGTTAACGCTCCTTTTTAAAAGTAGCTCTTCCACTCCCGCTCCCACTCCTACCTTCTAAAAAGGAGCTAGCTCCCGCTCCAAGTAATGGAATGCCACTCCATAACCGCTCCTTTGATTTTCGTTTTTTTAGAAAGATATACGAAACAAAATCATATTTTTTTTTTATCGAAAAGCTTTATTTATATTAAATAATCTATCAAAAATATTTATAATCTTTTATTAGCTTTTAAAGGCAATAAATTTTCTAAATTAGAATCTCTAACAAACATCCACGCCTCTCCCCTAAGACCTCTTTTGCAATACTAATAGGCGCTCCACAGGATCACTAGAGGGAAGCGTTTAAAAATCTGATTTTACCTAAATACGTTCCATCATGTTTTGGAATACCTATTTTATGAATCATAAACAATTTTGCTGTTAACCTATTGAAGTCATTTATTAATTTATAAAAAAAAATTTATGGAAAAATCTAATATAAATTGTATTAAGTTTCTTAAGTTCGTGGCAAAATCGTCTGAAATTTACAGGGTAGGTATTCCAGAGATAATGTCTGAGGGTATTAATAACCTGTTTTTGCCCCGGCGTCCATCGCGATTTTTCCATTTCGATCCGTTTTATTTAAATTGATATAATATTGATGGTATATATTTTTTAAAATAAAACAATTAATTCTTTTTAATTAGCTTGGTTGTCATAGGATTTCTCATTACAAAAAAATAAGTTTCTTTATTAAATAAATTTCTTTTTTTTTTATTGTAAGTTTTTTTTAAAAAAAAAAAAATTTGTAGATAATTTAATAAATTTTGTCAAACTTTTCGATTAAAATTTGATAAAATTTTAATGATCTTTCTCTCTCTCTTTTTTTTTAGTGTATTAAGATTAAAATTTTATTTAAAAAACATAAAAATTTTATTAATTGTTATTTTCAATTTCGGTCACATTTTGGGCTTTAAATTGAAATTATATTTAAAATTTTCGAAATATCGATACCTATCATTTTTATCCAAAAAAAGGTTTTTTTTACAAAAAATGGCAATTATTAAAATTGTCCCTTTGGGATTACACTGCCACCTATACAAATAAATCATTAAAATTTTAGTTCTGTCTATCAAAAAATTGAAAAATATGACACTTATCAACTTTTACAACTTATCAATATTCATCTTCCATTATTTTTTTTTAAAAAAAAACATCAAAAAAGTTTTAAAAATAAAGATTAGTGCAATTTTCACCTTAATTGACTTACAATTCAAAATTATATTTCTTAATATTAATAAAATTAAAAGACACTTTAAAAATAGAATTAAATTATATAAAAATAAATTTTAAATGATCCAAAACTATGAAAGTAAAAGAATATTTTTTTAAAACTACACATAATTTATATATACATTAAAATTACGCAAAACCTGATGATAAATGAAATTTATAGATTAGGAGGTACATCTAAAGTGTGATCCCGGTAAAATTAAGTCTTTCAGAATTATAAAAAGCACGCTAAACTTTGCTAAAAATAGGGGGGAATTAAACATAACCCCGAAATTGTTAAACTAATTATACGACAAACTATATACAGAATAGTGTCACAATACCAATTTTCCTTTATTGAATGGAAACTTTTCTTCCTTTTCAAGTACTACGGTTGATCTTATAATTAGAACTTTTCTACTTCTTGATTGGATAAACGCTAAGTTTTAAAGCTACCATACAACAAACATTTATTATGTAATATTTATGATATCGATATCGAAATTTATGCGTAATCAGGTTCAATATAAATTTATAAGGTGAGTATACATTTACACACACACCATAATATATTTCCTTGAATTTTTTTTAAAATTTTTAATGTGAAAATCTGATTTTGCCGAAATGGCATTCTGGTATGCGTAAAATACCGATCACTTCAATTTCAGACAAATTTGATCCTTGAAATTTTGAGTTATTTTTAATTATACTACTATACTAAAATGAAACGGATAACCTGAAATACTTATCAAACAAAACATGTATATTGCTAATGAATTCCGATAACATTAATATAAATCATTGTTAGAAATTTTAGATTAGTTTAAATAAGTTACTCTTAGAAATCTTGCAAAATACTTATTATATTCTACTTTTACCACCTTCGGGAACAGTAATTAGAACTAATAGAGTCTATAAAAAAATTTTATTCAGAAATCATGGTAAATTTTATGATTTATTGAATATTTTTTTTAAACTGATTTTTATATTTAAAATTGGTATAATTAATAGTTATGATGGTTTTACTCCATTTATTTCATATCACCTTCAATAAGCTCTAATATTTAATTTTTTTTTCTTTTTTCTTTTACCATTCAGCAGTGGCGTATCCAGGATTTTCCTATAGGGGGGGGAATTATTTTTGGGGGCTTTTTCCCCAAACCCCCTTTGGCCAGATTTTCCCCCACCTTCAACCGGGTCAATCTGTGAGCTATTCTTTTAAATTATTCATAATTCAATAATATTTATAATAATATTTTTAGCCTTTATTTACTAATTCGCGCTTATGAATATTTAAAGAAGAAATAAAGGTTATAACCCAATTTTTATTTTAAGTTAGGTATAATATTATAAATAAATTTTTTTTAAAAAATTGAAATAAAGTTTAGTGTCAATTTTTTTTTTATAAAATTGGCTTAAAAACTAGTTTCAACTTAAATTCTCATATAATATAAATAGAATAAAAATTTTTTTATTGAAAATACTAATTGTAGTGTGTAATATTGAGTAGAAAATTTTTTAAAGAACAAGTTTTTATAACTTATTATCAAATACAATATTATATAAAAAATTTATTAAATACTAGAATTATAATGCGATTTTAAATTTTCGTGGGAAATTTGCAATTCATCAAGAATTTTGTTTGTCGTTGGAATCAAATCTCTATGGATATTTAACAGAGCTAACCCATTTAGCCGAGATTCGGAAGTACTATTTTGTAAATAAGTTTTCAACCTTCTCAATTTGAAAAAGGTCCCTTCATTCGTAAATGTTATAATAGGCAAACATGCAAGAATACCTTCAAAATATTTGGAAATTAAGCCAAGGATTCCTTATACCGATTGAACGCATAAATAGCATGCTCCATTAACGTACGCAGGGGGAGGGGCAGGGAGACAACCCCCCCCCCCCTCCCCCCAAGCCAAAAAATGCAGATGGCGGATTATATTTTTCTCAAATATTATTGTTAATATTAATTTATATTTGTTAATATTTATTCCATATTTAATTACATTTATTTATCACATTCATCTACTAAGTTATTTTATCAATCAATTTCGATTTCACTATTATTTTCAAATTTTAGTGGCGTAATATTTATCTAAATTTATAGTCAAATAATAATTATCTCTGAAACTTGTCCAACAGGGAGAAAGAAATTGCAAGCTTGTCCAACGAGATCGAGTCTAGCCATCAAGCAGTAACAGCTATTATGGAGTTAGAAGAGCCGATTATTAATGCTATTACTGAAATATCACAATGGCTTGAAAGAAATATTTCCTCGAAGCAAGTAAATTATTTGATTCAATACTTATTCCAAATTTTTTTTCTCACTAGAATGTATTATTTAATTATATAACTATTTTATGTAATACTTTTCAAAAACATAACATTGACTTGATTAAGAAGATGAGAATAGCGGAGAGCATTTTATTAGAACTCAAGGAAATTAGGGCTAATGTTGTTGAATAATTTCATATTTTATATGTTATTGTTGAGTCAAAAGCAGAGCTATATGTGTTTAATATTTGCCCCCCTCGACTTGCAGCAAGTAAGCTCATCGTCAAAACATTAATATAGGATGATTAGTAGAAGAGTATTATAAAACAAATGTCCCCTCTCCCAACCTTTTTCATATGGTGATAGAAAAAAAATATAAATATTTGTTAGAATTTTATCATGAAGATGTTAAAATATCTTATGATGCCTTATTAGCTGAATAACTATGATTAAAAGATTAACTATGGTTGATACAGTCCCAAAATATGCTATGGATGCTTTTTATTTCAAACACATTTTAGATTATACTCACAATATATTAAAATGGTTATATATATATTAGCAGCTCTTTGGTAAACCAATGAGAGAACATTCTCTTTTTTAAGAAGAATAACAGAGCCTTGCAGAGCAATTGCAGGACACGGTCCAGATTTTTTTTTAAAATTTTTTTCTGGCCCGGGTTTTTTTTTAAAAAAATTTTCAGGCCCGGCCCGGCTTTTTTAGGCCCGGCCCGAATTTTTTTAAAATAAATTATATTTATTTTTGA